GATTAACCAAAACTCTGAACTTAATTTTATGACAAATCTTTGCCTTTTCTCTGGCCCTGTCCCATTTCAGCTTGCTAGGTAATTTGTGACCCCTCCAGGGTCAGAGAGGAAGGAGGAAGGAATGGTAAATGAGGTGCTGACCAGGGCCAGACACTGGCCTCATGCTTTCTGGGTCAGTAGGTATCAAACACCACTTTTCCGGTGAGGTGGTTCCAGGGTGCCACCAAGATTCCCATCACTGAGCTCTCCTGCAGATCCCTTGGTCTGGTGGGTGCATCTCCATTCCCGGCGGTTGCTGGTGATGCTTCGTCCACAGGCGTCCTGAGTCCACTTGTGCTTGTTGCTGTTGAGCTTGCTCTACCCCTCTCACTAGTCCTATTGGTCAGGACCCAGGACAAGCCACTACCCACTCTACCCACCCCCAAACTTTGCAAGTGAGAGGAACCCAGGGCAGTCACCTTCGTTCTCTGCTTGGTTCTCTCTGAGGCATGAGTTAGGTGGCAGCCCTCCATCTCTAGCTGCAGGGCGCACATATCAAAGCTCTCTAGGGGCCCCATGGTGGCCATCATGAGACTTGAGGTATAGGGGTAGGTGGGGACGCATGGCATAGTTGCATCTCTCAAGGAAATTTCTATATTTATTTTATTTTATTTTATTTTATTTTATTTTATTTTATTTTATTTTATTTTATGTAAGCTCCACACCCAACGTGGGACTTGAACTCACAACCCTGAGATCAAGAGCCGAATGCTCTATGGACTGAGCCAGCAGGTGCCCCACTCATGAAAATTTCTTGACAATTCTCTTTCTTTAACACTTGACCACTCCTTATCTTGATCGGGCTCAGGGGTCCCGGAGTGCCTCAGCCAAGGTCCAATCAGGGAGGTGGAATCCTTACGAGCATTATGGAATAAGGGTATATTCCAGCAAGGAGACCCTACCATTATGGGAGGTGCGGGGGAAGTACAGGTTAGAAAAGAGGAGGAAGGTTGGAGAAAGGTCCTGAAGCAGCGGGGCACCAGTGACTGCTCAGAGCTCACAGGGACAAGCTGCTCTTCCAGCCGTGGAGTAGGGCTACGAAGGGGCAGGTACAAGTCTGTGCAAGGCTGTCTACTTATCACGGCTGCTCCCTTGGGGTTCACAGCAAAGTGTCTGCGGGGGGCCTGTGGCCACTGCTGGCTGCCGGGTCAGCAGCTGGGAAGGAGAGCTGGATGCACGACAGGGAGAAGTGAAAGCAAACTGAAATCCACTGGCCCCTGTGTCTTCCTCCCACCTCCTTTAATCCACAGCAACCACCAGAGGGAAGGGCCTGCTGCCTCACTTCCACCTCCCAAATCCCACACGGATTTCATACCATAAACTCAAATCTGGACCACTCTGTAAAGGTGATTCTGGGAGACGAGTTGAGGCTAGACCAGTCCAGCATAAGGAGTGATGATCATGCTGGTGCTCTCTTCTTTTTCAAATCTATACTTTGCTTTTTCTCTCGTCTGGTATATGTTGGTGACTAGATGAAACTTCCAGTTTTAACATCCTATTATCCATTCTATGATTCCTCCCTTCCATTTGGCACGTTGAAGCGCATCCCTCAAAGAAGCAAAAAGCACAAGCCAACGATGTGCCATTTGCAGCTTGCTCTGGAGGGAACCAGCAAACAGCTGTTCTCTGGCCTCGGGCTACTTTTGAAAATGCAGTCAGTGGTGGCAAAAGGTCGTGTGGGAAAAAAGCATATTTGTGACACACTCAAGCTGGTGACTGGGATTTTAGTCATCGGCTTCAGATGCTGGAAAAGAAAACTCACAGAAATAACTCTTCGTTCACAGGGGTTGTTGGTTGTATTTTCCATGTTACAAAATTTAAAGATACTGGTATGCATCACTTGCCTCGTGTGAAGACGGGTAGCAGCTGTGAGGGATGTTTCGGTCGATTAATTGTTGTGTTTGCCTGTCGTTTGGTGGAAAGCAGTGGAGGGGAAAATGCTGGAAATTGCTTTTAAAAATGAGCCGGCTGGAGCCATGAGCTGACCTTCCTCGGTGCTTTGTTGGGAGTTTCTGTGGGTGTGGTATACACACACACACACACACACACTCCACCAGTGGGCCGCTGATTTGGAGATTCATTTTAACTACTGCTCACCCGACAGTCTAGCAGTTTTTGACTCCGGGAGAGAGGGCTGTGGAAGATGGGGTGAGTCACCTCTCTGGAGAGCTGTCAGAAGAGAAGAGACAGAAGGACTTGAGAAGGAGAATGAGCTGCTGAGGAGGTCCACAGGGCATAGAAATGTTCAACCCAGGGTGAGCAGGTACAGAGGAAATGACTTATCCTCCCCTGGGGATAGAAACGTCGCTCTCTGGACATTTGGTCCCCAAGACTGCTCACACACCCAAATATCTCCTCTGCTTGTTGTAAAGTCTGTGTCCTCCACACTCCCTTCATCCCACTAGGGACTGCGATATTGCGTGATAAAAGTAACAACAATGTCCATAAGAATAGCCATGCATATTGAGCACCTACTTGTGCCCAGCCTATGGTAGGTACGTGACATGTATTAGCTCTTTGATTCCTCCCAACAACCGTGTAAACTGGGTACCATAACGGTCCCATTATCAAGATGCCAAAGTGGAGGCACAGAGAGCTTGAGAAACACGTCCAGGCGGCAGTGAAGGTGGGTTGGCTTAGGTCGGGAGTAAAAGCAGTAACTTTGAGTTCAGACCGTGAAATGCTCGATGTCTGGCTTTGGGCAAGTCGATTAACATAAATGGGTTGTAGTCCTTCATCCATAAAATGGGAATAATGATCATTCCTCTATCTCAGAGCTGTGGTGAGGGTTAAACATCCTTATGGCATTTATATGCCCGGTACACAAATATATCAGTAAATGGTTTACTATTAGCATCACTTCCTAGGACCTCTTCAGTCTTTTTCACTCCACAGCTCCCACCCGACCATTGTGCTCCCCACATACCCTGCTGCCACCTAAAACCCGTGGGCGTGCCCTCCTGGCCACTGGGGAAGAAGAAAGATGGAGAAGTGGGGAAGCCACTCAGAGCTCAGCCTAGCACTGGGACTTAGGCAATTGGCTGTGGCATCCCTGGGGTGTCATCTGCCTGCCACTTTTTGTTCGCTGATTTATTTTGATCTGACACACCAGGGCAGATGGTTGCGGGGGAGGGGGTAGGTAAGAGTCAATATTTGGTGACATGTGAATAATGCACTTGTGGAATTAATCAGCCTTATCATTTTTGGCTAGTTGCCATGGCTATGGAAAGTCATGTGTCTTGTGTAAATCAGAGTAAAGGGATGGCAACACATCCCTGCTCTTTGTTTTTCTTGATCCAAGTCTCCTCACAGCGTTCCTGCCCTCCCAGTCAAGGTCATGTTCTCGGGCACCTTAGGAACAGTGCATAGTGAGAGGCTCATCTATGGCCCTGGCAGGTGGGCTGTGCTTACTGTCTTTCCGGGGTCATGTGCATTTTAGGGCAATGGTCCAAAGAACAGCAAACGGGTTCAGAAAATAACAGAATCACCCATGTTTTATTTTGCCATGAAAGTGCACAGAAAAAAAAAAACACTATTAATATTTATAAAAGAACATTTTAATACCAAAAGGTAGGAAGAACATAATTTCAGGATAGGGGATAGTTCTTCAAATAGAAGAAATTTAGTCTAGTGGAACAACTCTCCATCATCTTTATTTCTCATTTCATTGTTGACTAGTGAAAGCCCACTAAGAGATTGGCCATGTAAGTGTCCTTTAGATATATGGAGGCAAGAAGACAGAACACTTGAAATAGAGCTTCATTTGGGATTCAAGCCGGTGTGATGACTGGAGACATGGAAGCAGAGTAGTAAGCTACTTGGTGCCTCAGTATTCCCAGCTACAAAATGGGTATATCAATTCCCACCTCCTTTACTTCATGGGTGATTCTGAGGATTAATTCAGTAATTTAGGTGGAAGTCAATGGCAACCTCTTACCATGTTTGAGAGGTCCTGGGGGGGGGGGTACAGCCACTGTATGTGTGTCTTTGGCGTCTCTAGTGTCGGTTGCATAGAAAGTGCTCAGTACAAGTCTACTGGATGAATAATATATGACAGGTCAAAGGAGTGACTGCAAGAGCAGGGAATTCCAACGAGACAGGTGGGGAGGGCACTCCCAGAACAAGGGGCTCAGCTAGTCCTCCTTCCCCTTTCCAGGCTCATCACTCCTATTTCTACTCATTCACAAAGACTAGATTCAACTCCCGACAAGAGTCTCAAAACTCCAGCAAGCGCCAGCTTGACATCTAGTTAATTTTCTTTTCCTTGGAGAAGACCTTCCAAGTGGTGACTGTTCTTAGTATTTGTGACACACTGGGTTAGGGTATTGACTTTGGAGCTGGACTGCGAGGGTTCAAACACTGTCTTCCCCACTTAGGAGCTGCACTCTCTTAGGCTAATTACTTAACCTCTCTGTGCTTCAGGCTCAGCATCTGTAAATGGCGGTAATAGCAGAACCCTCCTCATGAGATGTCTATGCGGATTAGATGAGTTAGTGCAAGCCAAGTTCTTAGCATTCTGCCTGGCACTGCCTAGGCACTCAGTAAATGTTAGTGTGCTCAGTGAGACTCCCTCAAAGAATGGGAAGATAAATTATCTTTTGGGGGTCCAACTAGATCCCAGTTTTGGTCAAAATTTGAGAGAGATGGCATGGCTTTCAAGATTCTGAGATTTGATTAATTGGATTGAATATTTTCATGCATTTAAAGATAGACGGTGTCACTCCATCACAAGGGCATAGTCACCATGGGAACTAAAAAAAAGGAGAGGCCCCACGACAAAGGTGGGCGGTGTCTGTTGGACCTCTGTCTTGGTTGGCTGCGGTGCCCGGGGGGCATTAACCTCCATCTTTTAAGGGTTCCCAACCTACTGGTAAGTCAGACCCTAAAGTGGAGACGGCTGGCCCAGGCAGCCTTACAGTCGCCACCTTTCATCTGCCTAACTCCTCTCTGTCCTGATCCAGGGCCACCCAACACCTTTCCAGAGCCAGGAGGCTTCCCTCCCAGATCTACCTTCAGGAAGAGAACGGCTTTATGGCCCCGTGACCGTGCTCCGATGCTGCATCCACTCAAGACCAAAGCTCAGACCGTAGCCCACAGTCAGGTCAGTGAGTGCGTAACTGCCACAGCGGGAAGTCTCTTCGAAGACAGCTGTCAGCCCTTTTCTTCCTTTGAACGTCTATAGGCAGAAGCCTTTCTCTGCTGGCTGACACAAAGACAAAGGGGTAGCTCCCGAGTCTGGGAAGGGCCAGCGTCCAGCGTGCTGTATGCATTGCTGACAAGGCACAAACACTGAACACCCTGAACGAGATCAGACCCACCTGGATCCAGAGTCCCCAGGTGGCTCTTCCTTCTAGCAGCTAACTCCGCTGCTGAGCCCGGCAGATGCTGCCTGAGACTCAGAGTGCTCCATAAGCGTTGATTTAGAAAGTGAAACAAGCCACATCGAGCTTCCGTTTGTCCCGGGACAAGAGTCACTAGGACCATGGCTTTGACCTTAGTTGTGTCACTGGATAAAAGACGACCTTAGTGACAGGAATGTGAGCCAGATGACCTTGGAGTGGCTTTCAAAATGCCCTGGATCCTGCGGCCACAAGTAGATCTAAGCAGTTGAGAAGGAGCAGAAGGAGTCAGAGAACTTTCTTCTCCTCCCCACCCACTCCAGATCTCTCAGGCTCCGAGCTGTCACTTGCACTAACATTCTGGCACAATGGAGTGGCGCAAGATGCCATCCTTCCCCGTCTCCGACAAGCACCTGTCCTCCAAAACTCAGCCCGAACTACAGAGCAGACGGTGTTCAGAGGCGCTGGCTCAGTGGTTCACGGCGCCTTCGCCATCAAAACTCCTTCCATTAGTTTACTCCATGCGCTCCGTGTTTTGAAAGATTTTTGTCTCTCAGATGAACAGCATTTACCAACTCATAATAAAACAATTAGCCAAAGGCTTATATAATTGCCAACCGAACTTGGGATCAGTGAATAACCATGCTGAGTTCATCTAATTCCAGCCCAAAGCAAAGAATTTTGATGTTTTCGCAGTCTGGGGCAGCCGGATTGCAGTAAATGCAACTTGAGGTCGGCTCTCTGGCAGGAAATAGCCAGATGAAACTTGGTGACTATTTTCTAGACTCCCTGGAGGTCTGAGGGTCCTCCAGTGGGAACCATCAATCCAACCTCAAACTGCACTTCTCAGATAAATTCGTTTGTTATGTTGGGACACATGGACAGGTAGCTGACCTGTATTGCATTCCTATCATGGGCAGGACCTTGGGCTTGGCCCGCTCACATACGGCACCTGACTGAGAATTCCCATCACCTAGCTAGTGTTATCATGTCATGTCATCATATCAGATCATCCCATTGTACAGATGAGGGAACCGAGGGAAGAGTAAGTAACTTTCTCAAGGGCACACAACTAGCAAGTGGCAGAATTAGGACACTGACCTGGGGTTTTCTTGTTCTGTTTTAAAAGCGTTATTCAGATATAATTTATGCACAACTCACCCACTTCATGTGCACAATCCAACAGTTTTTAGTAGATTTGCAGAATTGTGTAACCCTCAGCACAATACATTTTGGGAAGTTTTCATCACCCCATAAAGAAACGCTGTCCCAGCAGTCACTCCCCATTTCTCCCACCTCCTCCTCCCAGCCCGAGGTGGCCACGCATCGACTTTCTGTCTCTGTGGATGGACGTGCCTGTTCTGGACGTGTCACATCAACTGACCCAGCGTTGTTAGACTCTGAAATCCACAGACATCAAACTCTAGCCCAAGGATCGAGGCAGATTATAAATCCCTTTCCTAATTTTATAGGCTGTTTCTTATTTAACTTTGAAAGTACACGGAAGGCACAATTGGTGCATCCTTCTTGTTTGAAGCCTACAAAAATGCAAATGTTATTCCGTATCCGAGTAAAATATGGCATGCAATTATTTAGCTGTCATATAAATGCATTTCAACTGCCACACTTGCCATTCTGCCATACCACTCTGCCAGGCAACCATCCAGCGCTCCGAGAGGGGAGACCTCTCTGTTCTTGCCCTCTGGACGCCCCCCCCGACATTCAGTGTTGAGCCAGGTCACCACGGCTGCCTTCAGATGACCCGGTGTGTCTCCGTCTCTGGGTTGGAAGGGTCCTGGCCCAGGTGCTATGACGCCCCCTTCTACCTTAGAGACCTTTCTGTGTGTCCCGGCTCTCCTGTTCCATTCTCCTTAACCTTCCCCCACCTGCAAATTGCTGTTGGCGACATGATTGATTCTCCTGTAGCAGACGGTGGGGATGTTTAACACCCATGTCTAATCGGTTTCCATATAGCATTCCCCTCTTGTCAGCTGCTCGGTCTCTCGGGTTCAGGTTCCCTTTTCCCGGGCGATTAATTATTCCTGCATATGTGCATTACTGTTCTGAACAGGGTCCTTTTCACTGGGTCTCTCGGACAGGCGCCTGGCAGCAATTTCCCACCCAGAGGCCCAGGTCACCCACTGAACCCTCTGAACCTCCACTGAAAGCCAGAGAGGTACATCCTCTTCCCTGGGCCTAATTATTCCTGCTAGAGGTGTCCTTTGAAGAGGGGTCTGTTCTGAAAGTCTGTCTTGAGTGCACGTGTTTGGCTTGTGCCTCGGGCATCGGTGAAAACTGCTCACGTGCAGGTCATAGTGGACTTGGACAGGGCTCCTTAAAAGTGATACTGTGCAAGGAGTCACCACCTCTGTCTGTTCATTTCTTCATTCATTCATTCATTCATTCATTCATGTCTTCGTTGGCTTGTCGGGAGCATCGGCAGCTGGCCAGGCTCTGGGGTGTATGGGCCACAGCCCCCCCACGCCCCTAGACAGAGCTCTCTCTAGCAGCCCTGCTTCTCATTTGAGGGACAAGTGCATGGGGTATCAGACTCGGGTTTGAGCGGGGCTTCAGGAAAGCTTTCAGACAATCATGGGGCCTCTCTGCGGAGTGTCAGATTTACTGAATATTTCAGGAGGGAAATTTTGTCTTAAGTCAAGGACGGATTCATTATGGGGACGAAATAAAAATGACCATGATTTTAGAAGATGAAATATGAGATTTCAAACACATTTTTGGGCTTGTGGGGAACTCCTTTCCACCCCAATATATCAGACCCACACTTAGACCAGCTTCAGGTAGACATTCATGACCTCTTTGATGAGCATAAGGGCCTCTGGGGCTGGAGAGATGAAGGAAACTTTTAATTCTGCTCCTCTTATTATTCAATTAGGAAGATCTGTAGGCAAATGTGCATTACTGTTCTGAACAGGGTCCTTTTCACTGGGTCTCTCGGACAGGCGCCTGGCAGCAATTTCCCACCCAGAGGCCCAGGTCACCCACTGAACCCTCTGAACCTCCACTGAAAGCCAGAGAGGTACATCCTCTTCCCTGGGCCTAGAGTATAAAAGCTGTTTTGTTACACCGTGCCGGGCCCTCTTCCACAGATCAAAGAGTTGCAAGGAGATGTTAATTCTCAGGTCCCTGGGATGACCCACCGGTCATGTGGCGGGCATCTGGTTATTGAATCAATCAGTGCTCATGCTCGAATGGTGTTTAAATATTTAGAAATTCATATCTAATATCAAGTAGTCTTTATTTTTTATTTATTTGAGAGAGAGTGAAAGGGCGAGCATGGGTGGGGGTAAGGGGCAAAGGGAGAGAGAGAAGCAGGGTCCCTGCTGAGCAGGGAGCCCGATGCAGGGCTCGATCCCAGGACCCTGGGATCATGACCTGAGCTGAAGGCAGACGCTTAGCTACTGAGCCACCCAGGCGCCCCACGTAGTCTTTATTTTTAAAAACTCACCGTATTCTATGATCTTAAATGCTTCCCTACTTCTTGTGAATTTCTCGTTACTAGCACCCCCCCCAGATGATCATGTCTAATTCTAGCCAGGGTTGGGTCACTTCTCCCACCATTGTTGATGGACCAACCAGCAGTAGCATAGTTCAGAACATGGACTCACTAGCTGTGAGACCTGGGCATGTTCCCTAATCTCACTATGCCAATTTCTTCATCTGCAAATGTGACCACTCAGAGCTCATATGTCACGGGGATTGCTATGAAATGGCCAAAATACGTCAGGTGCTGAGTGACATACCTGACATTAGGAAGTTTCAGTAAATAGCCCCTGTTAGTTCAAGAAGAGTATATTGAATATATACAAGGTGGAAAACTTTTCATCACCAAGAAATGCTTTTATTATTTTGTCTTCATGTGTCCCAGTTTAGGGTCCAAAGCCATAACATAAGAATGAGTCCATTTATAGGGATAGAGTTATCTATGTCAAAAAAATCAATTACATTTTAGCAAAGGCCAGAGAATCCTTATTGATTTCCTTTTTTCCTTTAAGATTTTTAAGGTTCATTTCTGTTGTTTTTCTTTTGGCCTTCAGTTCTCTTTTGCTTCTCCGAATGTGTGTGTGTGTATGTGTGTGTACTACTTCAAGACATATAATATTTACTTAATTTCTTGTATTTTGAAAGACTTACGAATTATTAGTACTTCAAGGGACTGACCTCCATGGATCTCAGTGCATCCTGCTGGAATACAATTCCAAGGGTCCATCAAATCTACTCTAGTAAGTGACATGAGGGTTCTGGAATCTCATATACCTAACAAGATTTTCTCCCTAACTCTAGAAGGTATGCTAAGCCTGCCATTTACATCTTCCCCATTAGTAATTATAAATGCACACCATTATTTCTCTTTTGGTTCCAAGACCCACTTAACAAGTTCACAGTTGGATGTTGTATACCTTCAGAGAAAGAAAAAAACCTTTGCCTGTAACAGTGAAATCCTTCTTTCCTTTAACGGGAAATGTGTGCATTTTGGGGGGCTCTTATTTTATTCCTTTGTCATCTGGGCCCATCTTTCTTAATGGGAACCTCTGCCGTTGTCTGTTTCTAGCTAACCTCTGTCTTCCCCAAGGGGCTGGGGAATTAAAACCACACTCCCTCCTTTGCATTAAGAGGTCACTTGGGCATTATGATATGGATTTGAATACCTCTCTCATAAAAGGGCCCATAAGAGAAGTTTGATCAAGACTGTCTAGTACCATGACTTTGGGACCCTCTGCTCTCCATTTAAGCTCACTTTTAG